GCAAATGTACAACGTTTCAACAAGGTTTTGTCATCATCAAATGACAAAACCTTGTCGAAACGTTGTACATTTGCTGTCATGTTAAACTTATATTAAAGTTTTTCTTCATTACCCATTTAAGCCGTCTCCAGCCATTATTAGTCTCAAAGTGGGTTCCTCGTCATCGAATTTGAAATGCTGTTAAATTGTTATCATGAACTGAAAATAAATAGAAAATATAATGAAACCTTTATACTCCTATTCCTGTTAACAAAATACCCTATACATACCAATTTATGTACTGAAACGTTTTACATATAAGTTAGCATGCAAGAACATTGTGTTTGTTTGTTTCGGATATTAGCGCAAAGCTACACAAGGAGTATCTACGCTAGCCGTCCTTATATATAAACTGACAGACTACAGAGAAATAACTTATTCAACAGCACCCAATTGCCAACTCTTGGACTACTCTAATCGAATAATGTGATTTGATTGTCACTTTTATAACGCACTCACAACCCCAAAGTACAGAACGCGAATTAGCGGCAACAGAACGCGAACTCAGGATTCATAATCTGGCAAATTAACCATTAAGCCAAGCCTGTTCGCCAGTTCCCTTTCACTAGCACGTCTTAGATACGAACCCTATATAAAGATAGGGGAGGTGATGAATAAAATGGTATTAAGACTACCATATTGTTGTGTGCATGGATAATATAGTTGATAATTAAAGTAAATTTCCATTGATACATACATCATTTGTCTTTTTAATTGTTAACTATTAAACTTTAATGTATGCATTACATTTTTTTGTTTGACAAAGTACTAGTTTTGAATTTTGATAAATTTGTTTTAAATTAATTGATGCGTGTACGGACTGTTCTTACGACAGATTACATTCGTTTGTCTGTTTGTTGAATTTTCACACAAAGCTACACAAAGACTATCTGCGCTAACCGTCTATAATTTTGAACCGGTGGACTAGAGGGAAGGCACTTTAGCCAACAACATCCACCGTTAACTCTTGAGCTACTCTTTACCAAAGAATAACGGGAATGCCTATCACATTACAACGCCTACACGCAAGATATATTACAGAGGGGTGAGGGACAAAACTATATCAAAGCTATAACTATGGAAACGCAAGATTGATAATCCAAGGGATAAGTGCTCCCTTAACCTCTTGCGGACGCTCATGCCCACACAGCTGAAAGGGCGAACATGCTCAGTGAAGGGTTTCGATCCCGCGACCCACATCAAATCGAGAGTCCTAGCCATTAAGCCATACCAGGCCTAAAATTAAAAGAGCATTATTCCAACATTTTTTGACAGATAATGCAAATGCATACTTACATGAAAATACAACAACTCAACTGACTTTACCAGAATTTTATTTACATTCGCCGAAACAGCATAGAATTTCACGAACATGCACAGCATTTTTTATCCCATATCTTTATTTAGGTTTATCATTCAATTCAAATAGCAATATTCTATCCTAATGTCAAATTTCATTGAACTATTTCTACTATTTTTTTTTATTTTGTATTTGAGGAAGGTATTAATATTGTTAATTTGTAATGGCTAGATAAAAATAACATCATTTGATATATGCAATGGTGAGATATGCCTGATGCTAATTGATCTTAAAAAGGAAAACTGATAAAATTTGTTACTGTACAAGTATTTAGTACAACGCACGTGTTTGGTCTACATCCTAAAAGATGGCAATACTCTGAATGAGGTCATCCATCTCAAATGGCAAACATTCCTAGAAAAACAAAATAATGGCACATTGACTGAGACGAAAAGTCAACTTATAGTGTTTGTTTGATGTATGTAACAACTTATTTCTAGAGGAAGTAAAGATCTTGCTCAAATAATGTTTTTGGATCAGACAAGTTTATAACTCTCTTCGAAAGTGTTAATGTGTCCTACTTGTCTTTATCTATTCGTCTACATCAAACAACAAATCCATGTAATTAGACCAAATAGGTCTAATTTAATAATAATAGATTTAATAATTTAATATTTAATAATAATAAATTATTATTTAATAATAATAATTAAATAAAAATAGGTCTAATTTGATAATAGGGAACATTTCAGTGTTCCCCCCAATTTTTATTTATTTATTTTTTCAGTACCAGTCTGAACGAAACGAAAAGTTCTCCAGAAATAAAATTCTCCCTACACACATGAAGTATAGTCTAAATCGTTACCCTGCTTCCGTTTGGGGTTTGACTTGTAAGGGAGAAGTTGTAGCTCCACTACATTCGAACCCCCTCCCCAAGTAGCTATGTTTTCTCTACAGCAAACACATGTCACCCCGAAACCTTTTTTTTTACACATGCTGTCGTTGTCCTTTATTAACTGTTAACTACAGTTAACATGTTAAGTTAATATGTTAAGTCGATAGAGAACTAAAATCACTTTATAGTAACGAACGAAAACATAAAAAGTACGTGAATAAAATAATAAGAGAAGATAAAAAGAAATAATAATCGTATCTATGGGATAAATATTAAGTGACAATCAAATATGTTATTTTGTTTTACGAATGGGTTAAAAATGTATTCATTAAGTGTGTTTGATAAATTTACCTCAAACCTAAGTTATTATTTTTATATGAAGTCTTGCGTAGATAAATGTAACAAAAATAATGAACTTCTCAACCATATTATATAGTGTAAGTCGCGTACGGCATTTCAGTAGTCAACCATATTATACAGTGTACGTTGTGTACAGCATTTCAGTAGTCAACCATATTATACAGTGCAAGTTGTGGTCGGCATTTCAGTAGTTAACTGCTTGCTGGGGACTGGCGTGACCAGCGACTAGTATGCCAGAGCTTTGAATCCAAATGTTCGTGTTTCGTGTACAGTTGCTGCAAAAACACGCTCTGCGCCTTGAAGCCATGCGTGCGCTATAACAG